CTGGGAGAGTAGTCCTGGGAGACAGTGGGAGTCTCATACTCTATGCATGAGGCCTGACATCCTGCTTTCAGATGAGAGACTTCTTCATGAGCAGGTGATCATATCAAGAAAGGTATTAGTATGTTCAGTATTTCAGTGATAGCCTCTTCAGAGAAACTGTATTAACATTTAGTACAAAAACATTGGTATTTTTAAACTAACCATGCTGAACGCAGTACAAAATTTGTTTATTTGAGAAAGTGCCCACACTACCCAATCCACAATAGAGCTTCCAACAGAAAGGCATCACTCTTGGAAGCTGGATACACAATGAAGTGAAAGGCCTTGCCCAAGTAGCTGGTCAGGGAATACCACTGCCTAATGCTACTCTCCAATGCTACTGAATATGGGACCAGCAGTTTTCTAAAACTTGTTCTTGCTAATAAATGAAATTGTGAGAAGCTTTCTTACTCTAAACATGTTCCAGTTTATGAAAACATCAATTTGTCTGGGGGAGATTTGATTGTGATTTTCAAGCATAAAATTCAAACTCTTGCCATATTTAAAATAAATTTTCAAATGAAAAATATATGTTGTCTCCTTACTAAGCTACAAAGGCAAATGAAAAATGGAAGATTTTCCTTTTAGCCAATTCTTCTCAGACCAGAAATAAGCCCCAAAGAGAAACAGCAGGGCTGACTCTTTCAAAAGCAAGGGCCTGAGGCAAAGCTAGAGCCTGGTAGTGCTGCTTTCATCTGGCTCAGCTCAGGCAAACAAACGCACTTCTCAGCTGAGGAATGCAAGGTCCTTGCCACTGGGTCAAGTCCTCGGAGAGGAGCGTGGGCAGTGCCCTTTCACTCCACTTTAACAATGCAGTGGAAAAAAAGACATCCACCCAGGGACTCGCACGCACGTGCCCACCACACACGTGCACTAAAGTATGAGCATGCACATGTTCTTCTCAGTGTTTGCCAAGATACCCAACCTGCTGCACTTTCCTCTTGGTTTTTTTATGTAATCCAGCTAAGGCAGACTTCTCTGAGTCGGAAAGGAAGTATCAATAATGAGAGTTTCTGTCTCACTGGAACAACACCTGACAGCTTTGTATGAATTGCCTGTGCTGCTGGGTAGCCACTCCTACTTCACAAGGACATTCTTCTGGCATTTCTATTGTTATGAATTTTTAACCATCCTCCATCACCATCTGAAGTGAACTGACATTAGTCGTGGCAGAAAAAATTACAAGGCAGAAAAAACACAGTTCAAGTAAACCTATTTGAACCTTCAAAACTATTTGATGAAAAATCAAAACACAAATTAAAAAAACCCATATTTTTCAGGAGAGGTCCAGATTAGATATTTGCAAAAGAAAATCACCAAAAGGGTGGTTTGGCATTGGAATTTGTTGGCCAGGGAGATATTGTCTCTGTAAGTATGCAAGAAGTTCTAGGTTGATGGTTGGACTAGATTTGAAGGCCTCTTTCAGCATTGATGCTTGTATGATTCTGTGATGTGTAAGAAGGTGTTTTACAGTTTACTGTGTGATCATAGAGACACACATCCTATAAATCACTGAAGCTGCAATGGGGATATGACAAGGGCAGTGCCAAATGACACTGGGATGCTTTTAATCATGATTCTCATCTAAGCCTATGGATATTTTTGAACTGTGGGATTTACACTGAAAGAATCCTTAAATACAGTTATTTCTGTGATCTACTGCAGTGGGGCACTTAGAAACTTAGGCCTACATTTTGTTGAAAATCTCATCACTTTCTGGCCAAGAATTCTTAGGAGAAAACCCCGAAGTTGCAGATGAGGACTCTGTTTCTGGTTATCAGTGGTAATAAATCAGCAAGTACAAGGTCAGAAATGAGGTATTTGGATTGAGTGAGTTTGACAGCTGATTCTGTGAAATCTTGTTTCCCAAAACAAATATGCACACTTATTTCTTTAGGCAGAAGATTTGTATCCTCTCAGCCCCATCTCCTTTATTTCACCAGCTGTTCCCCCTGCTTGTGTGGTCCTAGCATACTATATATTGTTAGTTGTTTTGATTGTCCCTAAAGCAGAAAATCTTCTCTTCTTTTTGGTTTAATTTTCATTCAGGACTTCATTAGCCCTCCTGGAAAGCAGCAGAGTACAAAACTGATGCCGTGTGACTGCTTTGCATAGTCACTCCATTCAAAGGCTGCAGCAGACCAGCTGTACCAGAATGCAAATGATCATTCCCAGCACAGCTCACTAAAGCTGGAAGCAAGCTGTTGGTCATGCTTTCCTCTGCCTTCCCTTTGCCACTCAGTGTACGGTATGGTATCAGCACAGCAGCCGTTTGGAATAAAGGAGGGATGGAGTCAAGATACCAACATTCTCAAGAGGATTTTGTAGTGGACTTGCAAGATCTTCTAGTATTTGATATTAACTCTTGGTTCTGAAGCCCTTTCTCCTTCACTGTTTTTCATTAGTTCTT